GCCCTGGCCTGTCCCTGTGGACGTCGCTTGAGCACCGGGGCATCTGCTGCAGGTGAGCGCCCCGCAGGTGAGCGTCCAGCAGGTGAGCCGCTCGCGGTGAGCGCCCTCCAGGTGAGCTGCCCAAGGGTGGGTGACCAGCGCCAATGAGGACGCAGCGGAGGAAGGAGCTTGTCCAGGCAGATCGCTCACCCTCTAAATTTTTCCTCTTAAGTCGAATTCCTGGAAAATAGATTTGGTTTGTAAGATTTTCAAACAATTCAGCTTTAAAAGCATCTCACTTTCTCAAGATGCTTTTTCACAAAACCCACCTCTCCCACAGGTGGTAGTGGGTAACTGCCCTGGGGTTTTGTCACTGAGCGTTGTTTGTAACTTCTCTTAGTGTTATGGGGACCTGCGCTTTAGCTCCCCTGCTGTGCTAGGGTCAGGGCAGGGATTTCCACGTCCCTGAACAGACTAGGCTCAATTGTTGGACCGAATCTGTGACACACAGACGACAATGTCTCTCCCTTTCCCATCTAACCCTCAGTGCTCTTAGGATAAACGAGAGAGAAGATGCCACTCTTCAGCTGCTTCGTCACCCAGATATTTTTTAAATTTTAACAGAAACCGCAGTCAGCCATGTGTTGGGGGCTCATTCCTTTTTCACTTGTTTATTTTAAATCTTAGACAGTTTTCTCTGACCTACTGTGAATTTTGCAGTTTGGGGGCCAGCAGTTGACGTAACGGCTATTGCTGAACTCCCATGTAGTCGACTGCGGTTCAAGTCCCGAACCCAGTGGCTTAAACTCATGCTGTGCACGTGTGCGTGCGTGCCCAAGATCCTGAGAGGAGAATGGAGGAGAAGGGATTGTGGCATGACCATCCACCCTGGGGGGTGATTTCTTGCTTTCTGTCTGTCTGTCTCTGGTGGGCGCATGCACCCTATAGCAAACACGTCTCCAAAAAAAAAAAAAATTGCAGTTTTCTTCTTCCCCACAACCAAGCCAACCTGAGTGTTAGAAATACAAATTAATTTTGTTTTGCTATAGGGTACATGTGCTCACCAGAAAGAGAAAAAGAGAGAGAAGGAAAAGAAGAAAGCAAACCACCAGGTCCAGGACTCTAACCACAGTCAGCCATGTGGGAGTCTAGCACCTTAACCACCATGCCACCTGCTAGCCCCGAAATGCAAATTAATTTTAATAGTATTCAAAATTGAATTGAAGATACATTTCCTACAGAAACATCACATGGGGCCTAGTAAAGACACTTGGAGACATCTACCTGACTATTTTCATCAGGGTAGTGCATCTTTATTTTTTTTTTAAAGGTTTTTGCCATAGGACCTGTGTGTGCTTACTGGAGAGAGAGGGAAGTGAGAAATCACCCTCCAGGGTGCATCCCTCCACTGACGTGCCACTGAGCCGGGCCACTGCGAGGCTAGGTCACTCCACAACCCCTTCTCCTGGGACTTTGGGCGCTTGTGCAACATGCACCTTGTGTGATTTCAGTCCATCAGGTCCAGGGTTTGAACTGTAATCAGCCGTGTGGAAGTCCAGTACCGTAACCACTATGCCACTGGCTGGC